GTTCTGCATGGTTCTATTTTTCATATGTGTTTTCATCTTTAAGTAGTTTCATTTTTTTGTCGGCATCTATGTGTATCCATTATTATAAATCTAATACCTGTGTCAGAAAGGTTATATAAATATTCTTGTTATTACATATTTTTTTTTGGAGCTTTTATATATTTGTGAGGAAGTATAATTTCTCTCTCTGTTTTTATTGGCACCAAGATCTCACCATTTTAGTGTTGAAATGGCTGGAGATTTAACTGTAAGTTTGATGTTAACAAATTTCTTCTTTTATATTTATTGTTTATGGAACTCTCTTCCAGCCTCTTGTTTTCTAGTCGACTTTAACCTTCAAAAAATTAAATGCAATGTCAATCGTTATCTTTTGTTTTCTTAATTCCTGTTTCTTTATTGTTCTCTCTTCTTAATATTTTTTTCTTTTTCTCATTCTTTTGCACACTGTAACTCCTTGCATCTTAGTGGATTTATTGCTTTGCTTGGGGTGAAATGATTAAAAAAACAAAATTGTTTTCACCTACTTGTAGCAGCAATAGTCTTAAGTTATCTGTAGCCAAAACACTGTCAGATGGAATTCCAAGGATATGGGTTGAGAGTTCAAATAGATGTTCCTTCTTGATTCTTAATTCATTCTTTTTATGGATTCAGCTTTATCAAAAGTAACAAAAATAACAAAGTTAGTGACAATCAGGACATCAGTTGGAAATTCTATGCAATGCTTAACACGATTTGCGGAGAACTTAGACCAATCTCTCTTAAGTTCCAACAAAAACAATTACAGTTTGCTGGCCACTATCACCAAGAAAACAGGGAAATCATCTCATCTTTACTCCTATGGCATCCTTCTGGAAGTGTCTTTTAACAAAAATTGACTTTCCCAGACACCATAACTCTGGACTCGGGGTTATGCATTGGGGATCTGGGGACAGCAATACAGGACCGAATAGTGTGGAAAGGTCATTGTCAATGGAGTTCCAACTAACCATAGAGAGGTTGACGGATGATGATAGTGACCATACTGCTTAAAAGGGATTCAGGAGACTTTCATTCAGAAATGAGCCACTTGGAGATGAACCTTAAGATGAACATTAAGTATTGACATTGAGAAAGTAAAGATTTGTGAGACTGAGCCTGCCTAGGACTCTCAATGGGATCCATGGATTGGAATAGGGAGATTCTTTTATTTGTTTGACAAAGTTAATAGATTTTTACACAGTATTTTGGAAGTAGTTCTATTAATTGAGATACCTCAATATCGGTCCATTTGACACCAACTGAGACCATTCTAATGTCACTTGATAGAATGTACATGGGTCCAGGGTACTTGTCATTGATGACACCCTTCTCTTACTCAGTATGCTGGAATCGAAACATATACAAAAAAAAAAAAATACACACAAGGAATCTGGGTACCTTACAAAGTCAGTGAAACAGAAAATAATAAGGAAAATGCTTTATCATCCAGCAGAATATATAAAGCATTTGGTGGAGATGAAGTTAGTGACCATCAGGACATCATTTGGAGATTCCATGCAATGCTTATGGAGAACTTAGATCAATCTCTCTTAAGCTCAAACAAAAAACAATTACAAGCAAACAGGGAAATCATCTCATCCTTACTCCTATGGCATCCTTCTGAAAAGTGTCTTTTCACAAAAATTGAGTCTCCCAGACACCATAGCTCAGGACTCAGGGTTGGACATTGGGAATCTGGGAACACTAATACAAGTCATAGACAGCACTTTGTTGATTTGATCATGGAAACCCATCAGCAGAAAAAGTACACGTTTATTTATATAGATACCTTTTTGCTTATTTAGGTTACCTCTATCCTACATTGTTAATAAGCATTAACAATTCTTCATTTAATAAAAATTTTAGAATATGAGAATAAATTTTTGTTCCTAAAATATTTTTCTGGGCTAGCCTTTTGTGCTGACATGAAGTGGAAAATTATATGGAATCAATTGCTAGGTCAGCAGCTAGGAAAGTTGCTTTACTGTGTTGTGCTCGACGGGTTTTCTCACCAGAATCTATTTTACACCTTTATAAGTCTACCATTCGTCCATGCATTGAATATTGCTGCCACATCCGGTCTTGTGCTTCTGCTATTTATTTAGAGATTCTTGATAAGATACAAAGAAGAATCTGCAATCTTATTTTTCCTGACCTGACATATTGGCTTCAGTCACTTTCCCACTGCTCTAATGTAGTTTCCCTGTTGCTTTTCTATAAATACTTTCATGGTAATTGTTCTGATAAACTTTCCTCTATGGTATCTCAACCTTATGATGTACTAGATTGGTGACATGCTCTCATCTTTTTACAATTGAAATGGTTACATGTAACCGCAAGTTCTATGCTAAAAGTTTTTTCTCTCGTACTTCTCACTTGTGGAACTCTTCTGTCATCTTGCTTTCCAGTCAACTTTAACCTTCAAAAAATTAAATGCAATGTCAATTGTTATCTTTTGTCGTCTTAATTCCTGTTCCTTTATTGTTCTCTCTCCATAACAATATTTTTATTTTTCTTGTATTCTTTCACATTCTTGTGTCTTAGAGCCTTTTTTGCATTGCTTGCTGATGAAATGATTAAAATATAAATATATCCTTACTGAAAATATTGATAACATTTTGAGTGGGATTAGTTTTTGATGCAAATAAATTTAGAGTTTAGAAGTGGCAAATGATAATACTCGACTGTAATGTTCCTCTGGTCAAGTTGGTAGGTAGTTTATATGGCAGCCTGGGAGATTCCATTCTGGTACCCAGGCAAGACTATTGTGTGAGTCCTGGTTGGCAGCTGATTCTGGTGTGGATACTCTGCTCAATAAATATGCATCAGTATACAATGAATCCCTGGAAATATGCATAGTTACAACCCACTTTATTTTTGTCTGCCAACTGGATGCTATTTGGGATCTTCCTTGTCAGTGTGGGTGTGCAGTATAAATTTTTATTTATAAAAAATCCAAAAGGTATAAAAAATAAAAGAAACATACTTGATTAATACAATGACCCATGTTAATTGGGGCTCCTTGTCATTATCATCAATCTTTCAACCATTGTTTTCGCTTACCATTTTACTGTTTTAAGTTTAAGATTACTTTCAGTCATTTTTTATTGCTTCCTAATTAGTATTAATCCAATAGAAAACCTGTACGAAATTTGTTGCCTCAAGTCTCTTCTTCATTTCTGAGGAGGTTATATGGCAGATGAAAAAGACTTGAAGCAAAGAAATGCGATTCCACAGAAGAATGCCAAGAATACAATAGACTGAACATGTGTGTCATAAGGAAGATTCTTGAATTATTTTATTCACACTTTTAGATACTGTCTCTTGTGATGAAAGATATCTTATTTAATATTGGTTACCATATTTGAAATCATATAAGATGCACTGGTGTAAATAAAAATAAATAAGATGCACCCCAATTTCAGCTGGGCAAATCAAGAAAAAAATAGTAATTAGTAAAATTATTAGTAAATAATACAGCCTAGGCTATATTTATGAGGTATTATTTTGGTTAAACAAGCCATCATTACAATTAAACCAAAAATAAAAAGGAAAAAAAGAACACTAGCCTATAAAAATTTTATTTACATTATTTACATTATTCGGACTATTGTCCTCATCTTTGTAGTCATATTTATTACTAAATATGGCGACAAAGATGAGGACAATAGTCTGAATAATATACAGAAATATAAGCAGATACCAAAAATGTTATATCCAAAAGAAAGAAAACAGAGTAAAAGTCAAGCAATTATTACAGTTGAGCAAAACAGTACAGACCATTAAATTTCATTCATCTTCATATCCATAAAATTTGTCTCCGTTATCAAAACTCATATACTCATTTTCAATTTTATCATGGAATAGTCAAGTCAAAGGCGTTAACCACTTAGCCACTACAGCAGATTCACTATAGCGATTTTCCAAGTGTAGCTTGGATGTGGCACAAGGCCGAAAGTAAGGGGCACCCAGTGAGGATCGAACTCACTACTCATTCGTAATTGTTCTAGTGAGACAAGCTTGCTAACCATTACACCACCTCGAGGTGCCCCAGCAGATTCACTATAATTAGGTTATAAAAATTCTGATTGTATTTATACCAATGCAACCGGAAGTTATCGCAAGAAAAATATTAATGAAACAAATATTTTACAAATATATAATTTGAATTTATTGCATATAATTTTAGTGTAACAATGTACTAATATTAAACATGATGAAATTAATATAATGAATATTATAAATTATAACACTTTTAATCTGCATAATAGTCTTTTAAATGACGACTATAAGTATATGAAAGTTACTCTAAAGTCTAAGCTAATAGAAGTTACCAGGTAGCTAATTTCGTCCGACTATCGCAAATTTTAAATGTAGATATAGCATATAAGGTGCAGGGGAATTTTAAACGATATTTTTAGTTAAAACAAGTGCACCTTATATACTGTCAAATATGGTATGTGTCACATTTTTTTTATATAAAAATTGCTCAGTTCTCTACATTCTAATATTTATTCTTTAAAGGTAAATGTGATAGATGCTTTGGTGATGATGACTAAAATGATCTTGAGGAACTCATGGTGTGAAATTGAGTATCGCTTAGATATTCTCTGGGGGAGCAAATAGATCACATGTTGAACTTCATGAATAACAGAAGAAAACTCTTTTTGTGTTAAGGTGTAATTTACAATGAACCATATGTTTGTATCTTGCACGGGTTTTGCATAAGATATGTTTGAAATCAGGTGAAGACTTTGTGCTCACCTTATAGAAATAGCAAAGGAAATAAAAACAAACCAAGTAAAATGAACAAAAGAAATTCAATGCAGAATAGAAAACATAAAAAGGAAAAAAAAATAAAAAGGATTTAATAAAAGAAAGAAATGAATGCAAAAAAACGAAAATAATCAATTAAAGGAAAGAAACAATAAAAATATAAATAATTATGAAAAAAAAATGAGATAAAAAAGATTAAAGATAACATAAGAAAAGAGAAAGAGAGGAAAGAAAGAATGAATAAAAAATAAAGAGGTAAAAGCTGAATAAAAAAATATGAAAAAGAAATAGTATAAAACTGAAAGAGTAAATGAAGGATTAAAAGTTTTAAAAAAAAAATGAATGAAAGCAAGAAAATAACAAGCAAAGAATGAGAATACTAAACTTTTCTTCATATAATTCATTCCTTTGTATATGACATCCCCAATAATTTTTAAGCTAAAACTAGAAAAAAAAAACAGTTCAAGATATTTCAAATGTTTAAATGAAAGAAAGATATCAAAAAAATAAATTACGAACATCCAATTGCTTATGTAAATTTTATTCACCATTATCAAAATTATCAAATTATTGAAAATTCCTGTCATCTTCACCCTCAGACAATTCCATTACCCAGGTAATGTCCTGCATACTAATTTAAAGTGTTACCAAAAATGTTCGCATTTTGGCATAAGGCCCCTGTACAGTTATAGGTGTTAACCGGAATTTAAATATGCATATAAAACAATAGAAATGAGAATTGAAAAAAAGAATGGAAATGGCCAGAATAGCCTAATTGCAGGGAAAGAATGCTATTAAGATGAAAAACAAAAATAGTGGGAACAAGGTAACTGAAAGAAAAGATTGTTATTAAGATGGAAAGAGAAAATAGTTAGAACAAGGTAACTGAAGGAAAAGATTGTTATTAAGATGGAAAGAGAAAATAGTGGGAACAAGGTAACTGAAGGAAAAGATTGTTATTAAGATGGAAAGAGAAAATAGTGAGAACAAGGTAACTGAAGGAAAAGATTGTTATTAAGATGGAAAGAAAAAAATGGGGAACAAGGTAACTGAAGGAAAAGATTGTTATTAAGATGGAAAAGAGAAAAAGTGGGAACAAAGGTAACTGAAGGAAAAGATTGTTATTAAGATGGAAAGAGAAAATAGTGGGAACAAGGTAACTGAAGGAAAAGATTGTTATTAAGATGGAAAGAGAAAATTGTGGGAACAAGGTAACTGAAGGAAAAGATTGTTATTAAGATGGAAAGAGAAAATAGTGAGAACAAGGTAACTGAAGGAAAAGATTGTTATTAAGATGGAAAGAGAAAATAGTGGGAACAAGGTAACTGAAGGAAAAGATTGTTATTAAGATGGAAAGAGAACATAGTGAGAATAAGGTTAATTGAAGGAAAAGAATGCTATTAATAGATATACAGTCGGAATAAAGTAAGTAAATGTAAAGAAAACTGTTAAGATGACAAGGAAAGAAATAGTGGATATAACAATAAAAAAGAAAGAAAATCTAAAGATTCCTGCCTAAATTTCTGAGATGATTAATTATCATCATTTATCATGGCATTCTTTACTAAAGGACATGTCATAGTGCATCTCTCTCCCCAAACTGGAGGCCTATCTTAATTCTCATCATTCCACTGGAAGCAAAGTATTTTTTTAGTTTAGTTTCAGCTTGGGTTTATGGTAGTTCCCTGCTGTAGTCAGCTTATGAAGTTCAAAGAAAAAAGTAGCAATTATGAGTTGAATTAATTTGGCTCGAAATGTTAATCCTCTTTATCTTAGTATATTTTTTCTTTACTAATGTCTTATGACAATTAAGATAATTTGGTGGAGATCTGGATCCATCACTTCTCACCTTGATCTTTTTCAATCATAAACTAAGCCAAAATTCAACATACTTTTTTTTAAATACCTTTTAGAAAAAAACACAAATTACACACAAAAAATTAAATTTTATCATCAATATATTTGTTGTTATGAATAACATTATTATAGAGCAAAATATTAAATTAATTTTATGTAACAAATAATAGAATTCTTAAATTAAATTTCATAGTGTAAAACCAGGATCAAAGAAAAACTTCTTTGGGAGAAAATTTTGGTAAAAATTAAAACATTATTAAAATTAACATTGAGTTTTTTGGGGTTTTTTTTTTTAATCAGTATCACCCCATACAAGACAGTAATACCACTAAAACAGAAGGGGTTACAGGGTGTCGAAGATTTAGGAACAGAAACATTAATAATGAGCAGTAAGAGAAGAGAGTAATCAGGAGGACTGTAGATAGCAATTGAAATTGCATTTAAATTTTTGCATATTAAAGTTGGCTGGAAAGCATGGAGCCAGAAGCAAGATGTGTAATAGAAGAAACTGTTAGCATAGAACTTATGGTTGCGTCTAACCATTTCCACTGAAAAATGATTGACATTGCATTTAATTTTTTGAAGGTTGACCAGAAAGCAAAACCATTTAAACAATTTCTCAGGAAAATATTTCTCTCAAGTCCAGTAGCTGTTATCACTCTTTCTAGTATTGACAGGTGCTTCCTTCCTAACCCTTTGTTCAAATTCATGTGGAATATCAACAACATGATTATATCATTACCTTCGGGTTACATGTACTATCTATTTTAGTTGTTGCTGCTGTTGAAAGTCCTCAAGTAATGTGGTTTCTGCTATTTGCTACAGTTCTTTGTCTGCGATGCTATAGCACCAGTCTTTGGAGTTTGAAGGAGAGTCCACTAAGACCTACAAGCTTCATTTACTCAAAACCATTTTTAATTGATCTGAGAAAGTACTTGTATAAAGCTGACTGCTTAGTCTTTCTGAATGTGTTTGATGCTACACATGACATCCACATGAAAGTTTCAAACTAGTCTATTTAGTAACATAACTTGAGTTATTATGTTAATGTTTTGTAGCATTTTGTGTTTTGGGGGAAAATTATTCCTATATTCAATTCGTAAAGCCATTTTCTGCTCTGAAAGTGGTAATTATTTTAGTATTTAGTCACAGTTTGGGATTAAATGAAAGTAAATTAAATTTTTATTTCTGAAATATTTATTTTTTAAATTAATATTTAAAGTCTTATTCATAAAAAAATAATAAACCAATTTAAATGAAGAGTTTAACCTAATTCATTGGAAGAATGGCAAAAATCTATTTGTATTGACAGATTATTATATATAAAATTCAAAATCTCTATGTATGTTCTCAAAGAGAAACATTCCCAAACCCTGAAAATGTTACTTGTCTCTCTATATGTGTAAGGCTACAAATATTACATAAAACTGTGACATCAAATGAATGCAGTTTTATCATTTACACTTACCAGCATGTGTCTTATATCTGGCCCAACTTAGTAGTTCTTGCTTAATGGAGATAACTAATTTACATATTCAACTTCCAAAATCAATTTTTTTTTAAATAGCTGTACTTTGCCATCCTTTTTCAAACTGTCCTTTGTGATATTTATAAATAAGCAGATGTTTTTGGCAGCTTTTATAATTAGGTTGCTTAGTTATTCAAATAAAACAAAAAATGAAAGTGGTAACCACTGTAGCATTTAGAATACAGCTTGGGAGTAAAGGGAAATAATAAAGTGTATAAAGAATAACAGTATATTTTGAAAATTTAACAAATATGAATTATAACAGAGCATGCTGTATATGAAATAAAAAAGCTACCAAAATGATTGGTTGATTTGATTTTTACAGGTTATCAACCTTTTCCAGATTCCAAAATGATTAAACTGATCAAACAGGTTTAATTATGTTTGTTGTGTTAAAGCCATTTTACTGTTTATGCAAATTGCTCTACTAACAAAATAGTTGATCATCAAAGTCAAGGAAAGAGACTTGGCCAACACAATGACAGGAATCATTACTTGTTTTTGATAAACATGAAAACATGTATACAAGCAAATTAATTGTACCTTGAATTATTCCTCAAATATAAAAATAATTATTTTGAATAGGTGTAAAGGAAAAACAAAGATAAAAAAATGATTCCTGGTTGAGAGATTTCATTTGAAAAGTTTTTATTCCTGTGAAAAAAATATTAGGCAATTATTATAAATTTAATTTGCAATAATTAAACTGGATCCATATGAAGTCACTATTTACTTTTTCTTTAAATGTCATAGGTAAGGCTTATTTTCTCTTTTACATATATCAGCATCATCATTAACATCAGCCATTATGACTATGCTACAGGATAAAGGGCTTTTCTAAATCCTTCCATGACTACAGTGACTGTGCTCTTCTCTGGTGTACCTTAACAATAAACTTCTCTATTTCATCTCACCATCTCCTGTCTTGTATTCTTTGATTGGTTATGAGCAAGACAGCTTGATGGATCCCATTTCTGATTTTGAATTCAGATTTGTCTTTCTCCTAAATTAGCTGCCTTACCAAGGCTAAAATAAGTCTACCCTATTATTTACATGGGTTTGAATTCAGTGTCTTTGATCTCTGAGGCTGGTTGTCCTCCCAAAGCTAAAGAGTTCTATGACATGTAAGTTTGAATTCAGTTCAAAAAAGCCTACTCTAACCTGCTGTTCAATGCATTTTTTTTAATTCACCCAAAGCAAGGGAATAATGCCACTAAGATGCAAGAGACTACTAGGAGTAAAGAGAATGAAAAAAACTTTCAAAGGAATTGGAAAACCAATCCTAAACAGGAAACAAGGGATAAACCTCTACTCCTGTTCAAAAGATCAGGGAGGAGTTTGAAGTGGATGGATTCATATGTTTTGAATGGAACCAACTTTAAACTGTGCGTGCTAATTTCACTTGCATTGTGCTATCTCTGCATTTACAAGTACACTATATTAGAAAATGAATAAAGAACAAAACCTCTTACATTTTAAAGAGATAAATAAAACTAGATGAAAATAGTAACATAGTAAAGATAATGAACAAAATCTTCCTCAGGAAGAATTCAGATAAGGAATGTTTAATCAAGATCAAAAAATATCTCTTATTTTGCAAAAGAAAAAAGAACAGCAAAAAATCTCCAAGAAAATTAAACCAATAGAATTTCTATCACTTTTATCAATTGATTTCATTTTTTTTTCTTTTATTGTTCATTGATATTCAATTCCAATCACATTTCATTCTGATGTTAAAGCCTTGCATTGACTTTATTCTTTATCTGTAGTAGAAATTATTCCAAGCTGGGATTTCTCTTTCTTTCGACCTGAATGAAAACGTTTCCAAAATACAACAGATAAAGTATTGCTTCCAAAAGATGAAAAGTTTGGATAAA